ATCTTAAGGTACTTATGTTAGTTCGTCAAGGTTTTAAATCTCATTAATGTCTTGAAAAAAATCTCTTTCCTCCCCAAATTGTAAAATGAAAAAAAAATAAAAAGAAAAAGAAAATCTGACACGTTTGAATATGTGTATATATATATAAATTTTTTTAAACATTGAGATGAGATTTAAATTTCATATTTGTTAAATTTAATATAAAATTTTTTTAATAAAAGAGAAGTGGTTATTAAATCATTAGGATATTCTTGACATATTTGAATATTTTTTTTGAACAAATTTACAAGCGATTGAATTTAAATTGTTATCTTAGAAGAGAAAAAATGCATTTATATGTGATATGATTTTATTGGACTTGAAAATTCAAGTGTCAATATATTTAAATATGTTTGCTATAAAAAAAGAGCTAAACTTTGATATTTTTAACTTAAAAATCTTAAATTTAACTCTTAAAACTTATTAAAAGAAATTAACAGAATGAGAGAATTAATTTTTATTATATATTATTTAATATACGAAAAATTAATAAATATATATTGCAGTTTGAATTATGCTGCACTTAATAATCTCGCCTAGTTGATGGGCACATTTTCCAACAAAATTGGATGGGTACCTCTGCTTTCTGATAGGACATATAAAGGAACGGCCATCGCACAGTCCAGTTGGTTGGGCATTTATTATTTTATTTTATTTTTTTATGTTATTTGTACTAAAGAGATAATTTTTTTATATTTTTTATTTTATTTTATTTGTATAATTAAAATTTAAAATTTTTTATTTTTAATAAAAAAAAAATTATCAGTGGACTACTTATATTGTTGACGGTTGAGCATTTATTATTGAATATATTCCTAACTTACTGGTTCTGTGTTCGAAGGCTGGTTATGCTCTTCCAAGCAAATCCTCATAGGACAAATATAAAGGACAACTTGAGCGTAAGTTTGCCCTTTTTCGTCAATTTATCATGGAGCTTTTGTGTTTTGAGAGGAGTTTTATTTTATTATTAGGGTTTTTTTTTATCAATGTCTTAAAAATATCCTTTTAATATTATTGTCATTAAAAAAATAAAATTTGATATTTATTGAATTAATTATTTAATTAAAATAAAATATATAATATTAATGACAAAATTAATATAAACTTTTATAATTTTTTATATCAATCATTATTAAAAAAAATATACTAATTACATTTTTAACATATATCATATACAAATTAAATATATCCCTATTATTATTATTATTATTATTATTTTTGCCAACAAGGTGTGGAGTGGGGAGCCTTAGATAAGTGGCTTCCTGGGAGGACGCACATCGTTAATGACGTTTTAAAATTTTAAATTATTAGATGGAAAATGAGTGTTTTTTTTATATATATTAAATGATATATTATATAATGAAAATAATTTTTTTAAAAAAAAATTTATTTATTTTAAATTTAAAATTTATAATTTTAATATAAAAATTTAAACTCTTAAGTAATAAATTGTTCCTTAAGAGATAGATGAAGAACGAGTTTTTTGATATCATCTGTTATTTTATTTAATAAATTTATTTTTAACATCTAATTTGCAAAATTAATAAATAAAAAACACAAACTATGAAAAAATAAAAGAGAACATATCTAACCTTAGTTTAAACTGGGAATATTCCGGATGTTTGGGACCTTAATTTGCTGACCCTACTGCCTCATGCCTTCCACGCAAGTAATTATACTTCTCTCACCAGCCTCAGCCCATAACTTCTGTTGTATCCAAACGTTATGCCATTGGTTGGAAATTTAAATAAAATTTCTAAACAAATTTACTCATGAATTTATTTAATTTAAGCTCTTTAAATGTACTTTTATAATAAAATAAACTAATCTTATTACAAAAATAAAATAAAATAAATTCACTGAAAAAAGAGCCATTTTGGAGTTTATTGTAAATATTATTACATTTTCATTAATTATTACCAATTCAATTGAATCTTACAAAATTTAAAGTTTAAAATATAGAAGGGAGTTTATTTTAGTGACATGTTTTGGTTTTAGGTCTTATTTTTAGGATAATTTACATGAAAAAGTTATTGGGTCGGTACTCTTGAAAGTGTTAGGAAGTAGTATAAAAGATTGTAACTTTCGCAATGAAATTTTGTTAACTTTTTAGTATTTACATTTTTTGGGAAGAAAAATAGAATTGGCCAAGTAGGCCTTAATAGGGAAAGATTTTTACATTCAAGTAGGTGGGAAGAAAAACTTTCCCATTAGAGATGGTGCGAAGGACAAAAAAAAGAATGAAATGCTAACTTTAATTCTTTATTTGTCATAGTGTTAAGAGTTAAGAGTTTGTAAATACTAGATTGCCTTCCAAATTTCCTAGGTGGGTTGGCAAAAACTTTCTTGGTACGAAACACCACCCTAAAATGCATTTACTAGTCTTAGGTAAGGAGGGTGAGGGAAGTGTCTTCGCCATAAATAGTAGTAAATTTATGAGAATGGGTCCGTGTATTCCCTCGGTGGAACATTGTGAAAATGATTAATTATAATATCATATAATATTATAAATTTAAAATATAATGTATCATTATATAATAAATTTTTTATTTAAAAAACTACTCATAATATTGTATATAATAATTCATATTACATTATAATTATAAATTTACTATCTAAAATAATATTGTAATTGTAGTATCGTCAAGGAGAATGTGCCATATATCAAGTAAAACTCCAAAATTCAATAAATTTGCTTAGTTTTGCCCCGTCTGCCATAAGATAGAAATGTTCTGTTGTGGAAAAAAAGTATATTTTTGATGTCCCCAAAATTTTATTAATGATAATTTTTGATCTGCCAAACAAACTATAATTTTCTTTTTCTTTTTCTTTTTTTTATAAGACAAACTATGTTGACATTATAATTATTTTTAAAAGTGATCCATATTATTAAAATTTATATATAAGAATTAAATTAATTTAATTATAACAAATTAACAGTTATGTGGTAAAAATATTATGAAATCAATTCCAAATGCAATTAAAGTCTTTCCTTAATGATTAAATTGAAGGCTTTAAAACCATTAGGTTTCAGTTTTATGTCTTTCTCACTTTTAAGTTTTCGTCTACCGATATTTTCTTTTTGGTAATTTGTGATATATAATAAAAATTATTATTTATTAGCCAAACTTGTAAAAAAAATTTTTTTAAAAAAAACTAAAAATTAGTGTTTTAAAACCTAACCTAGTGGTCAATTTGTTTTGGTCACTCGGTTAAGTTTAACTGGTTAGAACAATAAAATTGACAAGTTCAACTTGTTGACTTTATAGATATTATTAAATTTATTTTATTAATTAAAAAGTTATTTTTAACTAAATTAATTTTATTTTTAAAATTAATTGAAATCATTTTACATTCAATTATGATCAAAGTAGTTATTACTTTTAAAGATTTTATTTTCAAAATTTATTGATTTTAAATTAATTTTATTCATTAAATTTATTAAAATACATAATATATTTTTCCTTTATTAACTATTGAAGCATTTATATCATATTAATTATGAAATTATTTTTTTCTTTTATTGATTTGAATTGCGTCTGGGTAAAGTCTAATTTGAAATGCATGTATATGTGTGAAGAATCTTAACAATCCGAGACTAAGAAACATAAGTGATTATGTTACAATAAAAATATGGAAAATGCTATTAGGACAACTATTTTGTTTTATTTTTTTGTAAAACTTAACGTGTCATTAAAATGATTGGTTCTTTTAATTTATGCGAGATCTATGATATTAAATATATTTACTCATTTAATGACAAGTGAAAGTCGTATAAAAAAGTGAGACAAAAATCTTATCCCTATAGTACCACCCATGGGATTATGTCTGTTGGTCGGATTTTATCACTGAATTGATGGCCTGTTTGGTAGCCTAATTTTTGGAAGATATTTTTGCGAAAGCTATGTACAAAAATAACTTGGTTTTGACGCATGGGAATAAATTTATGGGTACAAATTTAAGGAAAAATGTAATTGGTTACATAAGGAAAAAAGTGATTATTTTAAAATGTAAAAAATTATAAACTAATATAGTTGATTAGTATAGGAGGAAAGTAATTTTAGCTAGAGATTTCAGAAAATTTCCTTTTAAGAGCATAATTGGTTACTTCTCTTATTTTGTTGATTATTTTACTTTTGAAGCATTATAACTGATTACAAAAGAATATAACTAATTATTTTTTATTGATTTTTGTGTGTTAATTTATAAATGTCTTTGGGATCTATTGGGTTTATTAGGAACTTGAAAAAACTTTACAAGGTAATGCATTACCAAATAGAACTGATTATATTGCATAACTTGTTACATGTTTACTTGATTTTATAGCTAGGACTTTGATAAATCCTATGCCAAGCTTCTCCTTTTTTTCATTTTTCATTTTTTTTTCTCTTTTTTTTTTTTTCTTTTATTGTTATTTTGGCTCATGGCGTCCACATCAACAACTGTTGTTCGGAAGAAAAACAAAACATGTCCTAAGGGGCGTTTGGTTTACCTTTTTATGAAACCTGTCATTTTAGGATATATCTTGTAAGGTTATTTTAGTATTTGTATTCATTGATATACATTTTAAAAGAAAAAGTTTCTTTTAATTTTTTTTTATATACGACTCACTTAAGTTTTTTACTAAATAAAGAAATATTAATGACTAAAATTTCAACTAAATTTATTAAAAAGACTTATTAACTTTTTCAATAATACTTTTTAAACTACTTTTATAATAAAATTTTAAAAAAATAAAATTAACCTCTAACTAAACATGTTTTAAGATTATATTAGTTTGAGGAAGACCAAAAGAGGGAATGGAAGGCAGGTCTATTTATTTAACATAAAAAATGGTGGGGGACAAGAAATAAGCTTTTTTATTTGGTATAATAATTTGCCGTATTAGTTAATAGTTTTACTCAAACTTCTCTACGGATATTTGTTTGGCAAATTTATTTATCTTAAAATTACTTCAAAGTTACAAACTAGTGTTGCATTTTAGTTGTAGTTTTGAGTTTTTTTTTGTTTTAGTTTAAAAAATTTAGAAACTCTATAATAAAATTAAATAATTCCATAAATTAATTAAGTTGGGAATTTTAAATATTTATTTTAAAATTTTATACCTAATAAATTAGTAATTTTAATTTTTAATTGTTAATTTTGATTGTTTGAATTTTGAAAACCAAAATTAAAAATTAAAAACCACAATTATATTAAATAAAGTCTAAATATTTGGTAAAATTTTTTATTTAGTAATTATGGACTATCGAATAATGGTTAAGAGCTAATAAATAGCAATTAAGAACTAATGAATAGTGATTAAGATCTAAATTGTAAATAAATTGAAAATTTTTAATTTTATTAACAAATTTATCCATTTTAATTTTTTGTTACGTTTTATATTATCAGTTATCTAATTGGTTTTAAATTCATTTTTTCTTTTTAATAACGTTATATTTATAACTTTACATGAACTTATCATTAATACATTTATATTAACTTAATAAAAAATTGTTAACTAGACAAAATAATTGAAATTTTTTTAATTATTCAAAAATAATATATATTTTTTGTTAAAAGTAAAAATGAATTTGTAATTTACAATTTGATATGATATCTATTTATTATTTTTATTTTTATAAAATTAATAATTTTAAAAATATAAAAATACATATAATTACTTTTAAACATACCTTTATTAAGTATTTAACATTAAATAATAAATATTAATTATTGTATAACTAAATAATTATATCAATTTAAAACTACTATTTATAATCCGTTACTTACTTTTTGGCTACCCCTATTTGTTGGATTTTAATTCTTGTACCAAACACATAGGATTTGTTTGTTATAGCAATTTAAAAATAACAATAAATGATTTTATCAAAACCATTAAGGATAGATGTTTAATAAATTTATTTATTTTGAAATCATTATAAATTATATATTTGATAAAATCTTTTATTTAGCAGTTTGGAATTGATAAATAATAGTTAAGGTACAAACCACTAGTGAATTTAAAATTTTAAATTTTATTGATAAATTTATTTATTTTAATTTTTAAAATTTTTAGCCATGATTTTTAATTAGTACTAATTTAATTAATTTTAACTTTATTTTTTTATTTTTAAGAATATTAATTGATTATTTTATTTTTTTACATTAATTTGTTATAACAACTATATTAGCTTAACAAATAAAATTTACTAATTAGATGAAAAAATTAAAAATTTCTTGTATTTTTTTTAAAGTAATATAATTTTTTCTTTATTAAAAATAAAAATTAATATGTGATTATACTATTATAATTTATTTGATTTATTATTATTTTTATAAAATTAATTTTTGAATAATAAAAAATATTAAAAATATATTTAAT